TTCTGATGGCGAGGCCGTAATAAACTGTCAGTTCATCGATCAGTTTTTCAGTCAATTTGCCTTTACCACCGAGACCCGTGGTTTTTTTTTTTGCAAGCGCGAAGTCTTGTATCCATGCGAAAAGTCGAATACAGAACAGAAGAGCAACAATACACAAGATCAAGAGGACAACTGAAACCCAAAATACCGCTAGAGCGATATTTTCCGTGCGCGCCATGTCAGATAGCGGAGCTCGAACGCTCGAACGCTTGAACTTGTTTTCTTCGGAATTCTATAACTTTGTCAATTTTACAGATATCGATGTAAAATTTTCAGGATATATTCTCAACACTTAAAACTTTTAAAAAATGCAAAAAAAAATTTTTTTGGTGGATGTAGCCCCTTAATATAAACGCGCATTTTGCAACGTCCTCTGAAGCCGAGTAGTTGCTCGTCCACTGTACATTGACTACTTGGTTTATAATTATTCTTGTAATTTTCAATGAAAATCCTCCAAATATTGCGTATTGGAGCAAACCTGTCATTGGCATCTCGTGTAGCTTTTATATCAAAACGCAGACATACAGATAAGAACTGGAACCGTCTACATGGCATTACACATCTATAAAATGATGTGCCATTATCATGAGTCCACAGCTTTTTTTCATCGACACGATGCGCCTCGCCAACCGAGTTGCCACGCTGCGGGAAAAATGTAGCCCGCAATTTTGATCTGAAATAAAAAAACGAAAAAGATTATTAATTTTTATATATTTTTATTCTGTATGAATCACAGGAACATGGTTAAAAAAACTGTAAAATATAAAATTTTTTAGCACTTGAACAAAAACATGACATTTTTGAGAAAAAATATCCTCCGTTTTTATGCAATAACAATTATTTAAATTAATATCTTTACAAATGTTTGAGGTTCACATAGAATAGTCCTTATTATCCTCCGCCATATCGACATCGTCTACGTCTACGTCAGAGTTTTTCTCTTCATTATCGTCATCCTATAATAAAATAAATGCGTTCCAATATCCTGTAAATAACACATATATGTACAAAGATATATACTTTTTATCATATAAAGTATGAATCAAGGATATTAAAAAAGTTGGTTTAAATAAAAGAAAAAACTTTAGGCAAGATTTTGTACTACCTTTTCTGTACAGAGCTTTCGTATTGTTTGGTTGATACTTTAGAACTTTGTTTACATTTTCTAAAGCTGTGTTGTAGGCATCAGTTTCACGTAATGCAGCTGCTAAC